CTTGTGGGAAGAGCTGTGCTGGGGAACACAGCAGATGCTCAATGAAAACTCACTGTTTTCTCCCGAAAAATGGTCTGGGGACCACATGGCAGGGTCCCCTTGACGCTGCCCCAGCTGCAGACTACTTACTATCTATAGCAAAACCACATGGCGGGTGGTAGGCGTGGATCCACAGTTGCCACCTAAAGCCCAGAATTTAAACACAGAGCAGCTCAGCAGCCAAGTTTTGGGGTAAAACAGAAGCCGAGTTTCTGTGAACGTATCTCTGAAGCCAGACACATTTGGCCGGAATTCTAAACTCACCTGCCTGTTCACCACTGACTGACTAACCAAGAACCAAAGAGGAAGCTTTCTACAAGCATCAGAGTGACGGGGACACTGAGCACACACGTGACTCCACCACCACCGACGGGCCACCCTCTCTCACGCTCCAGATACGGAGAATATGCTACCACGAGGCTACTGCTCCTCCACTGCATTTTCTTGCCTGGTGTGCTGTAATTCGCACTCTGGAAGCAAACCCTCCTTGGCAGCTTCCACATCCGTGCAGGGGTCAGGGACGGCTTTCTTCTTGTCCACACCTTGGTGGGGCTGTGCCCAACTGAGCCGTGCTGGAGGTGGGGCACCAAGTAGGCTTGGGTCAGCTCAGTCCAGGGGACGGCAGGCTGTCTGCGTCTACCACTGGCGCTTGCCTCTGGCTGAAGAGAAGGCTTTCTCTGCCCTTTAAGCAGATATTTGAGTGCAAGTGTTGTCTCGGCCAAAGACAGATTTCCAATACGCTTTCCCGCTCCCTCCCTCACACCAGTACATACACATCTACACGAAGACCCTGCTACAGAAACTTAAAAAGAAGGGAAATCGTGGCAATCTACCAGGTCCTTCCCACTGTTCAACTCAACTGATTTCCTCAACTTGAACGTGGGAAACAGGCTTTTGTAGCCATCATACTCCTCCCACTGCAAGTTATCTTCTCTGCAGATGGGATGGTCTACGTCCTGATACGTCTCCAGGACAAAGACAAGGTCATCTGTCTCCAGTGTGGGGCTGGACCACCGGCTGCATCTCCTCTCTCCCGTTCTTCACAGGCAAGAGTTGTTTGTGTGGCTGAAAGTAGGCAGATGGATGGGTGGTTAAGCTGATTGCTTAAGAATTGCTGGGACTGGAGGATCTCAGGGCACCTGGAAATTCATCTGATCCTGCCTCACCCACTAACCGGCTGGCTGAACGTTAGCCTTTGCTTGAACCCTTGTAGAGAGAACATCCATTTATTCCTGCAGCTCCTCCTGTAGTCACAGCCTTGAAAGGACAGCCCAGAGCTCCCTGCATTCTGATTCCAGTGTCTCAGTGTCTTTGGCGGCCTATCCTCTCCCTGGAAAAACTGCCTTCCCCTTCCTCTTCTTTTTTGGAGGGGAAGGGAGGCGTCTTTTCCCATTTCTGCCGAAGAAATGAGTCCAGAGGTAGAATCCTGCTCCTTCTCTTCTGATGAAGACCAAAATTGTTTTCTCTTCCTTCTGAGGATCCAGGGTGGTTTAGACTAGAGCCCTCTTCTGTCTTCTTGGAGGAATGGGACTTCCTGCTCCGACTCTGGGACCCAAAGCTGGGTTTTTCTGTTTTAGCTTTTGGGTTTTTTTTTTTTTTGGCCATGCCACGCGGCTTGTGGGATCCTATTTCCCTGAGCAGGGACTGAACCCAGGCCCTAGGCAGCGAGAGCGCAGAGTCCTAACCACTGGGATGCCAGGGAATTCCCCCAAAGCTGTTTTGCTTACGACCCAGATCTAGCATTGGCTTTTCTGAGGAAAGGTGGGCTCTGGTTCTACTCTCCAGGCACCCCCACCCCGGCCACGTGGCCTGTGGCTGCTGCCCAAGTTCTCTTTACCAGCCCAGGGAAAACAAATCCTGACGTACAATAGTTGTGGGCTTTGCCACGTCAGCTGTCTCCTAACTGGGTCGACTTTCCCTGCTATTCCCAGCTGCTCGCAGCTTTTCTTTCCTCCTGAGCGGGGCCGACAGGGGCTGTGGCCCTGGGTCCCCCACTCAGCTCCCTGCCACTTTGTAATCCAGGCTTTATCTCTGTTTCCTCATTGGCGTCCTCCTCCGCCCTAACTGGTTTACCACCTCTGGTCTGTGACCCCAACTCTCAGGCTGAGAACTTCAACCCTGAAACCCCGACAGTACGCCCGCTGACAGCACCGTCGCAGCAGGTCTCAAGTTAGTTGGGGGTGCGGTCAGGAAGCCACGGGATGAAGCAAGACAAGGAACCATCTCTTCCTAGAGCTGGGCAGCCACAGCCTGATAGCTCTTTCCACACACAGCCCCACTGCTAGCTCCCCGGAGGAAGCTCCTGCCAGAAAGGGCTCTATTGACATATCAGAAAATAGGACAGATGCTTAAGCAGCTTTTCTGACCACCTCCCTGCTTCCACAGCAGGTTTCCTGATGGTACAAACGTTGACATCAAATGGCCTTCAAGGCAAACCCCAGGTGTGCAGTCCCCGGGAGGAACCCAGCTCAGGGCACCAAGAGAACACCCAGCCTCTCAGCAGGCTCCCTCCAACAGCAACCTCAGGGCATGTGGAGATAGCACAGGACGCAAAGTTTCCAGCCAAGGACTGCAGGAGGGTTGCACCTGGTCCAAATCAGAGTGTCAGCAAGCTGTGTCTTTCCTGACAGTTACAAAGTGTAAGGAGGGCCTCCCAAGTGTGCTGCTGCTTGCAGGGTTCAGAGAACTTTCACCTACCTTGTCTCCTGGGATCCTCACAGCAACCCTGTGAGGTGGGCAAGGGGTATGTTCTCAACCCCGTTTAGAGGTGAAGAGACTGAGCCTTCGAGAGGGGAAGGGAAAGTTCAAGGTCACACAGGAGGGTGAGGTGGAAGGGGGCCAGCTAAACCCTGGGTCCCCTGCCTCCTGGCTTAGTGCTCAATCCACTAAGCCACACTCAAGACTTCCAGAAGTGTTGCGACAAGAGTGTCCCAGGAGATAGGACTCTCCAGCCACATCCCCACCTGGCCAAAGCAAGCGCACCATGCAGAAGCATCCTCACGCTCACCAGACAGCTGCCCCAACTCCTTCAGCAGATAAGGCGCGGCCTCCTCCACTGACGCTACTTGCCAAGCACAAACCTCAGCCCTTCTAGCAGCCAACGAGCCCTGGCAGAAGCTCAGGAACAGGCCAGACTTCATCCAACACAACACCAGGGCCACAGATGCCACCTAGGCCAAGCTCAGCCGCAAGCACGCTGCCCTGCTCAGAGCACCTGCCACTTTCCGCTCTCGTCAAGGCCACAATCTACCTGGGCCTGGGCTCTTCCGACCATTTGTGCTAGAAAGTTTCGGCCCTTGTCCATCTCCAGACTCGACGTCCTTACCTGGCTGCTGACTTTCACGTGCCAGTGGATCAGCCAGCAAAGCTCTTGAGCAGGACCCCTCATTCTCCCACCTCTTGGGGCCTAATGACTCCCACCAACCTCAGTAGTTCAGCGCATCCATCCTGCCCCCTGGGCAGCAGGTGTGTCATGGGCCCAAGCCTGGGAACAACACTCTCTGCTGTTCTCACTTGCTGAGCTCCTGGCAACTCCTGTTCCAAGCACCCCAGGTTTCTTGGAAAGGAAAGGGTGACAAACAGCTGGCTGGGGGATAAGGTGTTTATCGCTCAGTGGGAAGGGAGGGAGGGCTGGCCGTGCAGAGTGGAGCCTGAGGCAGGGTGGTCAGACACCCCCCGGCCTCCCACATGGGCTCAGGCCCATCCCCTGGACATGAGGAAGTAGCAGGGAGATTACCTCGGTTACAGATACTGCAGAAGTTGCTGGGCCCCTCGCTGTGCTTCTTCAGGTGGTCTGCCATGTACGCTGCCCTCAAGTACTTCCCGCATACCTGGCAGGGCACCTTGTCTTCGTGACAGGCCAGGTGGGAGCGCAGACGGTCTCGGGTGGCAAAAGAAGCATTGCAGGTCTGAGGGCAGAAAGGAAAACGGGGTGAGGTAAAAGCTGGCGTCCACACCCGACTCCCTACCGAGCACACTGTGGCACAAAGCCATTTCCGGCCAACACAGGGACTCGCTGTATAAAGAGAACTTCAGAACGCGGCCAGGCTTCCTCCCCAGATGCCAAGTAAGCCGCTCCTACTCCCCATGGTCTTCCCCACAGGACCCCTGAGCTAGGATGACTGGTTCCCACTGGCCCCCAACATGCACATTACATGGCAGGCTGAGTTCTGCAAAACAAAAGAGCTAGGGGCTTTTCATTCTTAAACATTTAAGAACTGATGTTTGTTGCATTGGCTGTAAGTGAATTTACAGAAGAGCTATTGGCATATAAACGGAACAGTCTTCACCTTCTCCACCCTGGGTTTCCCCTGGTTGCTTTATACAAAGAATCCAATTTACTCACTTTATTCAAAAGCGACATTAAAATCGTGGCCACAGGGAAACGGAAAGGAAAGGCAGGACAGAACACAGAGATTACTCTTCATAATATCCGTGTGCATTTGTATTGAGAAAGCAGCCCATAAAGTGACAGTGTCAATTTTGCGAATGTGAAAATTAGCAGAGAGTGAGGGCCGGAGGCTCCGGGGGCATCTGTGGAACCCCAGTGCTGGTGCCAACAAGGATGGCACCACCCTGCCCTGACCAGTGCCCCCCACTGTGCCAGGCAGGCCCCAGACTTCACCTTCAGAGGCCTTCATCGCATGCAGTGCATCCTCACGGTGGCCCTCGGGGCAGGCCGTGCTCTCACCCCACCGGCCAGGAGCTGCAGTCAGTACCACACCCTGGGAAGGCAGCCCCGGGTCCCCTGACTCAGTCTCAGCCCTGGGTCTACCCCCAACATCTCTCCCCCAGCCCGGGCCTGCATGGCTGCCCAGTCTTGGAGGTCACGGAATGTCGGGAAAGCCCTCAGGAGAGTTGAATCTGGTGACCTTCACTATTTTGGACCCACGGACATGTCTCAGGAGTTCTAGTCAAGGTTGACTCATTTCTTTTCTCTGTACCTGTGTTTACCATTTTAGAGCCACAGGAGAAAGCAACATTCACCTTTAATTGCATCACAGACCAAACGTTAACCCACTGAAGACCCGCCACCCCGTTAACTGGCTAGAATGGGGCTGTTCCTGCGGCTCCACTGAACAGAAACAGATCCTGAGATCCTGAGACCTTAAGGTAAGCATCTGAACACTGTCACCATGTACAACGTCTATCTATTGCTTTACTGTACAATCAGAGCGAGAAACAAATGCATTCGATGCTGTGGAGGTAGAAGACACCGTGGTTGCCACCCCAACCCCAGATGTCTGCATCAGGACCAGCTGAGCTCTTCTTAGTCGTTATCTTTTGAATAAATGTTACGCATTTGAATAGAACAATTTATGCTAACAAAATACAGTTGACCCTTGAACAGTTTTCCAGGGTTTGAACTGAACGAGTCCACTTATATGCGAATCTTTTTCAACAGTAAATACTACGGTAGGTGGTACACCATCTGCAGTTTGCTGAACCCGCAGATGTGGAACCGCGGACGTGGAAGAATCACATACACAGAGGGCCGACACTAAGTTATATGTGTATTTTTGACTGCTCGGAGGGGCGACGCCCCTAACCTCCGAGTTGTTCAAGGGTCAAGTGTACTGCTTTCATGTTTTATATATTGAGTTTATTCATCTGACAAATGAGGGAGCTAAGTTTAGAGAGTAATTTGCACAAAGCACAGGGCTCAGCTACTAGAGAAAGCAACACCCTGCCACTGCCGGGCCAGTGCCCTACCGATCCTCCTGGCCACCCTGGGGTATTCCCCTCCTCCCCGATTTACAGCCGGGCAGACAGAGGTCCTGAGAGGACTCGGGGCAGCTGGACTGAGAACCAGCCCCTGAGCATGTGTTCTTACCACCTCCAGCCTCAGCAGAGGTAGCTTCTGGTAAAAGGTGTGGATAGTTTTTATCAGTGTACTTGGTAGCCAGGGCTGTCCTGATAGAGGTGACAGGTTCTGTGCAGGGAAACTTGAGCACTTAGGCGACTCAGGAAGCACCATGGGTGCTTGGTCTCATGGCCACAGGTGGGCCCCCCGGCAGGGACCTTGTGACCCAATCATAGGCCACAGTGGGTGGAAAACTGAATCTTTCCCCAGCCCCACCAGACTGTAAACCAGAGTAAGGGGTGCCGTGAACACCTGCGGGAGATAGGGGTGCACCTGTCGATTTATCTGGGGACGAGAGCCGGCTTGGCCGGACAGCGACTTGAGGACCACCGCCACAATGGCGAGAGGCAGTGTGGTCTACACCGCAGAACTCAAAGCCAACCATGGACCAGGTGTTAAGAAAATGCAGCTGAAAGCACACATTCAGGATCCCACCTTCTGTGGCCCCTGGGAGAGGGTGCCACTAGAGGGATGTGAAAGAGATGCCTTGTTTCTCTTGCCAACTTTCTTTTGGGATGTGTCCCTTAAAGCACTGCCTGTCATACTTTGCTAACGAAAGATAATGGACAGCCAGACTTCAATTATCCACAAGTGGATTATCCATTTGGGGGATTAGCTAAGCAAAATTAAAGCTGCAGACCAGGCTGAGTTCTCCCACCCTGTCCTCCATTGATTATCTCTCAAGGAATGAAAGCAAACTTTAGTCTGAGCAAACATAATTAGGAATGTAAATCTGCTGCTGGGAAAACAAAACAAAACGAAACACAAACGCAACAAAAACTATCACTGTGTTACAAAGCCAAGCTGAAATGGTGGTTGGCTTCTCTGTGCCAGGATTGACCCTTTGTGGCTGGAGTACCCAAGGCTTTCTGGAGGAACTGTGAAAGTGCCCAAGTCCGAGTCTAGCCCTGCCAGAAGTTCAGACAACACCAAACATAAAAGGCCTGGTCACTTAACCCAGGAGAGAAAGGAGAGAAAGGCTGAGGAGAGAGATGGATCTCAAAGAAGGGGGTGCCCGGAACCTCCATGCTGGGGCCACTCAAGAGAAAAACACTTCCTGTCCTGGAGGCAGGAAGAAGGCAGAGGGACCCTGACAGGATCAGCACCCCAATCGATCGCCGGTGGTGCTGGGAACGGCCGCCTCGCCCCCAGCCCTGCGCACAGGCAGCCTGCTATTGCTGGAGGCACACCTGCCAGGTCCTGGCCCAGCCCCCAGAGAGGTTCATCACCACTCAACACTGAGCCCCAGCCAGGCTCCCTTCCCTCCCTGCCAGTTTCTCCCCGTCCCAGACTTCCGAATGCTTTTCTTCCCAAGGGTTGAACAGCTCAGGAATGGGGCCTCAGTGGTACCAGGGGCACCGGTGCACACCTACTCTTGGTGGCCTTTGAGCCTGGCAGCCTCAGGAGGTATCTTAAGTAGTCTTTTCCATAGCCTTGGAAAAGTCTGAGGGCAATGCATGTGGGCTTAGCACCATGGGCCTTGCTGGCCCCCTTCTTCTCAAGGGTGTCAGCTCCCTTATTCCCACTTCAATTCCTAATGAGTCATCCCTCCAGCCCAAACCCCCCAACCAGCCTCCAAGAAGTGGGGCCACTGGGAGCAATGGGAGAGGTCTGAGCTGTTCTAGCCTCTCGGCTTCAGGCTGAACCCCATCTGGGGTCAATGTCCCAGCCCACAGCACTCACAGATCGAGAAGCATTGGGACATCTGGGCCATTTAAGCACACTGAGGCCAAACCCCAAGGAGACTTGCGTGTCACTGCCAAGCCTGAGCCCCCATGCGCCCACGTTCGGAGGGCCTTTCCCCTCAAGCTGTGGCACCCGTCTCTGTAACTGGCCCCTACTGTCTCCTCTGTGGCATCAGGAGGGACCGAGAGGTATGGCCCATGCCCAGCTCTGCCAGGGGCTAAAGGAACCAACTCCCGGAGAGCTGTCTCTTCACCTCTGATACTTTCAGCAGACACACCATGCAAAACAGATGCCCCTGCTGTTTAACAAAGCCCAGGCACACCTGGCCAGCCAGCTCAGAGCCTGAGAGGCAGCACGTCTTCACCTGCACCTGCCAGGTCACTGTTAGGGGAGTTCTGGCTGTGGGGCTGGAGGCAGGGCCAGCAGGCTTGTGAGAGTGTGTGTCGGAGGGGCAGGGCAGGAGCAGGCTCATACACCAAGGGACAGTGATGTCAGTGTTATGACACAGACCAAGGACAAAACACACAAAGCCTCAAACGTTAGAATGAAAACTTTTATCATCACTCCTGTTATCCCCGCAGAGCCCACGGGGACTGAAGGGCACACCACTGGGATCCGACGGAGGTCTACATCTGCTTTATCAGCACCCAAAGCCATATATTGGGATGACCCAATGTAAAGCTACTGGTTAATCTAGTTCCTGAGCAGACCTGCTAATAAACCTCAAAACCACAAAAGTCTAATTCACAAGCCAGAAATGAAAGCGGACCTGTGTGAGTGGGAAGGGACGAGGGCAGCACGGTTGGCCCAGTTGGAGTTGCGCCGGAGTCTCCTCTCCTCTGGAGGAGGATTCACTCCCAGGGTGGGGGGAGGGGTGGCCAGAAACCCCTTAGGGGAGGTGATGCCAGGGGAGGGGAAGCATGTAAGCCAGTGGCTTAGTTCCTAGGAAAGCATCAACCTCCAGGCAAGGTCAGACACCCAGGGGTACCATCTGCTAAAGAGGGAAAACAAGGCAAGAGAGCCCAGAAAGAAACGTGGAGACCATGGGAAGGACCCAGGAAGGAGCCCTTTGCTACCCCTATTTGGGGTCCTTGAGCTGGGAAAGAGTCCAAGTCACCCAGGGAGGAGCTGGGCATGGTGGGCAGGGACCACTCTGCTGGCCTCTCCCAAAAGCAGGGGGCTCAGACCACTGCCACTGCCGTTCCTCTCCACAGAAAACCCTCTCGGGAGGCCCCGGCTAGCCCACAGGCCACTGGGTAAAGGCCCGGCTGCCCTCTGGGGCAGTCCAACCCTGCCTCAGATAGCCCGGCGGGGCTGGGCAGAAGAGAGCGTTGCTGGAGGGTGCCGGGCCCAGGTTTTCGAGGGCTGGGAAGGATTTTTTTAGAGAAAGGGAAAAGGCGGTGTCAGGAACCGAATGGGACGACCTCCACAAAGCAGGCTGGGCAAAGTCCCATGATGGCAGGTCGCTAGGAAGAGATTCCAGGGGCGGCAGGCCGCTGCTGCTCCCAACCCACACCTGGAAAAAGGGCAGAGAGTGCAGGTTACCCCCCCAGGCCACCGGGCATGCCCCCACTGCCCTCTGGGCTCCTCCTGCTCTGCTGGGCTGCTCAGCACACTACCTGGGAGAGTCAGAGTGTGCTCCGTGATGAGAGACAGAGGGGGAGGAGGCAGCGAGGCACAGGCGCATCCCAGCAGGCCCACCCCTGGTCTCCTGGCCGTCGGGGAACACCACCGCACCTGGCCCCTGGGGGCTCTCTGCCCCACCTACAGCACGTCCGTCCATCCCTCCCTATTATCGGTCTCCCCAGACCCTCCTCCTTGCCACCAACAGGATAAAGAGAAGCAGGTCACCCCATCAGACGTTGCAGTAAACACCCCACAACTCTGTTTCCCACTCAGATGGTAGGAACTTGGCCCAGGAAAGGGGGTACGACCAAGGAGAAGATAGAAGTGTGTTTTCCACCCACACAGGAATGCTCAGTGGCCAGGAGAGGAAGCTCAATTTTCTGGGCATCACAGAGCCCCCAGATATTGTTCAAGCAGACAAACCAAGGGTGAGAATCTTGCCCAGCCTCCCCTACCTACTGCTACACAAAGAGCTCTCAAGGACAGGAAACCACCTCGCTTTCCAGTTCTCAGAAGCCCTTGGCTGTGTGCACACGTGGCTCAGGATGGGTTAAGCAGGTGCCAGTGATCGCACCACTCCCTGCCTCCTTCACCCCCACCCCTGCGGCCTGGTGCTCTGAGCTGAGGGGACCCAGAAGGAGCTCCAACTCAGGTCAGGCTGCTGGGCATACAAGGGGAAGAGTTGTTGGCTGGACCACCAGGAGCCCTTAAGAAGCCATTCCCACCCCACGGTGGCCCCTGCAAACTGCTGGGAACCAGAAGCCGGACCCAGTGGGGTGCCAGTGCCCCCAGGACGACACTTGTCCAATGTGGCCCACCATCCAAGGAGCTGGCAAACGCCAGGAGAGGAAAGCCAAGCAACAGAGCAAAGACAGAGACAGGTTGGGAACCAGGACCCAGCGACCAGGAAGGAGGGGACATCAGCGGTGGGAGGGAGGGGGCTGGGGGAGAACAAAGGAGAAGAGCAGACAGACGGTGGGGGGACAGAGGGGGAGGTGTGCACAGCGGTGGTCAGTCAGCCAGCCCAGCACGCACAGCAGCTGGCTCACGGCCATAGCTGTGAGGACAGCAGCATTCTCTTTCAGCCCATCTCTGCCCCGGCCCAGCCCCTACCTGACACTTGTGAGGCCGCTCAGAAGTGTGCACCTGCTTGATATGTCCGTTCAAGTGATCAGGCCTAGAAAAGAGAACCAAAAGAGACTTTAAAACAAGACCTTAAGAGAGGGGGCTACAAACTTGGCCAGACCCCTGCCCTGACAAGGCTGGAGAGGACTCCCTCACCCCACCCCAGCATGACAAAGAAAAGTCACCACCCAGCTCTGGCTCCTGAGGCCCAGGCCTCTCTGCCCTGGATTTCTCTAGAGGGGGAAGGGGAGTGAGCATTTGTCTCTGACCTTGCCTACCCGCCTCCCCCCACCAGAAACTCAATGATTTCTAGGACCCAAGGAGGGGGCTTTAGAATGAGACTGGGCTGCCTTGCTGCAGCCTTTCCGGGAGGGGGTATGTGTGATTCATTGTCCAGACTAAAGCCCCTTAGAAACTCAGCATTCCCCTCCCCCAGCCTCTCCCACCACAGCAGCCAATGAATGCCACCCGGATGGAATTCAGTCCCCAGAGGCCAAGGGATGAAGCCTTAAGCCCCCAGCTGGGCTGGTAAACCAGATGCCCGACAGAGCAGGTGGGCAGGGGCTGCCTGACCGGTAAGACTGGTTCCTGCTTGGGGCCCCTCTGAGGGAGTTCTCCATCCCTACGTTCATACACACAAGGCCCTCAGTACCCAGGCAAGTTAAAACGAGCCTTTTATTCTGAATATTCTCTTAAGAGGAAAAACAACCCTCTGCTTGCAGACAAGTCTTCAGTTCCTTATCAGGCTCACTAAAAAGTCAATCTAAAACGACATCCTGCCCTCCTTCCTCTCTGTCCAGTGAACATAAAGGGGATCTGTGGGTTCAGGTGGGCTCTGGAGCCACCAGGTCAGAGCAGATCAAAGGCTTCGCTGTTCAGAAGAGACTCTGGGTGCCCAGCTCTGTGCCCCGTGATCCCGGGGCTGTGAGAGGCAAGGCCGGAGTCTACTGACCCAGGATTGCCAGTGCTGTGCGGGGGGACATGGAGGCATGGGAGCGTAAGGAGTCCCAGATGCACTTGTTTCAGTCCCTCCCCCGGCGGCCATTCAAGCGGGGAAAGTCGCTGGAGGAGCCTGGCCTCCCGCCCCCAGAGGGGGCCCCTCGTCTGGTGCCGGAAACACAAAGGGAGCCCAGGGAGAAGAATGGTGAGGCCCGGTGGCTGCGGCCTGAGGAATCCGGCCCCTTCCCACAGGCCCCAAGGAAGAGAGATGGTAGGGCACGCCTAGTGCCAGAGAACTTCCCTGAGGGAAGAGAAAGCAGTTCTTGGCCACATCATCTCAAAATCAGGGCCGTTAAAACACTCTCCCCAAACCTGACATGGCCCTGCAAGGTCAAGTGAGCCCCCTGCAAGTCTCACACCCCCAGCTTTTGGAGAGGAGCTATTCCATGAGTTAGGAATAGGACAAGTCATGGGGGATGGGCACCATTCCTCACCTGGAGAAGCCTTTCCCACAGCTCTGGCAGATGTAGGGCTTGCCCACGGACCCATCGTGGGACCGCACATGGTAGGACATGCGATCTTTCCTCTTGAACCGCAGCCCACACACGGGGCAGGAATAGGGCTTCTCCCCCGAGTGGGACAGCTTGTGCCGATTGAGATGGTACACGTCACGAAAGATCTTGCCGCAGATCTCGCAGGCCACCTGCTTCCTGGTCCGGCTCCTCTTTCGGGGGCCGTCGGGGTCCTCAGAGATGGGTAGCCCATTCTCACCCAGCCTCGGAGGAGGAAGGTCGATGTAGCCCAGCTGGAGGCTGGTGACACCATGCTGGGCCTCGTGCTGCCGGAGCCGGTTGGCATCAGTGAACACCTTCCCACACAGGCCACACGGAAGGATGCCTGCCTCCCTCAGGCCCCCTGGGGACCCGAACATTGAGTCCAGCAGGTTGGCCTTCCTTGGGCGGCCCCGGCCTCGCTTGCCAGTCAGGGGAGGGGCACTGGATGCCACATTGGGGAATGGGGAAGTCAGCAGTTGGGGGGACAGGGGTCCGGCCACCATGGGCAAGCGGTCCACCCCAGGTAACACAGGCAGGGAGGCTTGGCTCGCAATGGCTGCACCAGCCGCCCGAGCTGCCTCCTCCTCAGGCTGCATGCTGCCTGCGATGCCATTGCTGTTGGCTGCCAAGGCTGCCCCATTGGTCATGTCCAAAGGGAAACCCAAGTCCGAGGTCCCAGGGGGACGAAACAGCATGATGTCAGCCCGGGCAGGGGGCACCAGGATCTGCACATTGGACTGTTTGATGACTTCCTGGCAGATCTCAATGACCGACCTCATCAGCAGAAACTTGGCGGCCGTCATAAGCTCGGGGAAGCTCTCCAGGCGAACCACAATGCGGGAAGTGTAGGCGAAGTCCAGGATGTCCCCGAACACCTTGGAGCTGATGGTGTGCATCTCCAGCTCCCGGCTGCCCCCAGCCCCGCCGCCCGGGGCCGCCGCTGCGCCCCCCACGTCAGCGGGACCCCCGTCCGCAGCTCCGCCGTCGCCCAACTGGGCGCTGAACACCGACTCAAAGTACTCGCTGCAGGCAGCCAGCACCGCGCGGTGCGCTGGGAAGCTCTCGTCGCCCACCCGCAGGAGCACGTCGCAGAAGCGCCCGCCGTTTTTGCGCTGCTGGTTCAGGTTGTGCAGCATCTCCGTGCTGTGTCTGCTCACCTGGTAGGTGTAGCAGCCCGACGGGCCGCAGGAAGCGTCGTTCACTCGCTCCATGGCCGCCGCCCCCTCCCCACAAACCGGGCCGCGTCACTTGCCAGCCCCACTCCCTTCCCCTAGGCAGCAAGAAGCGGGGTGCAACGAACGTGTCTACACTCCCCACACGTGCCGGCCCGGGGCTCTGTAGTCTCGCAGGTGCGCGGAGCGCACACACCCCCTGCCCGGATCGGACTGTCTAGACGGCAGGGCACACCACCTCCCACATAGCTGCCCCCACCCCTGCTGGATCGTGCACTCCTCTCTCCTCTCCGCCCGCCCGCCTCCCCTTCTCGGTCTACCTCTGGGGGGTACGCGAGCACAGAGGTGCGCCCCTCCCGCAAACGCGCCTGCCACCTCCCCTCCCGCCCGCCAGGCGGCGCCGGCGCGCAGCCAAGGAGGCGCGCGCGCGCGCGCGCGCGCGCGCAGGGAGGAGGAGGAGGGGTTTGTCGCGCAGGCGCGCGCGCCGCGGTTTTACCCGGGCCCGCTGGGGGCGCGCGCTGCGTCCCCTGCAAAGCGCGAGCCGGGGCGGGGGCGCCGGAGCGGAGGAAACAAAAGGCTAAGGCTAAGGCGGCGGCGGGGCGCGCACCGGGGCGGCAGCGCGGGCCGGGTCCCGGAGCTTGGCGGGCGGAGTCGGTAGCGAAGGCTGGAGCGGGCGGGCGGCGGCAGCGGCAGGGCGGGCCCTTTCCCGGGCCAAGCGAAGGCGGCGGCGGAGCGGCGGCGCTGCGGCCCTGGGCTCCGTGTGTTCGGAGCGGAGGAAAGATGGCAGCGGCTGCACTTCCTCTTGCACTTTCACCCCTGGGGGGAGGAGAAGGAGGGGGCGATACCAACAACACCCCCCCTCCGCTTGCAGAAAAAAAAAAGAAACGGCGAGCTCGGCTTGGGGGCCCCCCGGCGCCCCCGGCCCTGCACGTGCGCACCCGAATCCCTGGCCCGGACCGCCCAGCGCTGCAAACTTTCCACTTTCTTTGTCCCGAGCCCCCCCCCCCCACCCGGCCGAGGATGCACGTCCCCCCCTCCCCATTTATACTCCCCCCCCCCGCAGCTCCGCTCCCCCCCGCTTCCTGCCCCCCCTCCCCAGTCCCCTGCTCCGCCAATGCTAGCGCAGACTGAGCCCCCGTCCGGCCCCCGCCTCGCCACCCCGCCCGCGGGGCCGGGGGCTGCAGTCTCAGCCCCCCCGGACCAATGCAAACGAAGCGCCTAGCCAGCAAACCAGCTCCCACTGCCCCTCCCTCCCCGCAAAGAGTGGCGGAGAGCGGACGGGGCGGGGGGTGGGGGGAGACCGAGGGGCGCAGATGTGGGCCCCCCAGCCAGCGATGTGCACCCGTAAGTCGAGCGGGCGTTGGTTACCCTTCGGAGCCCCCCTTCGATGCCCGAAATCCCCAGAAGTCGTCTGCAAGCGCTTCCCCGCTACCCACCCCAGAGAGGGCTCGGGGTCCTGGCTGGGGGCAGGCCGAACCTTCGGAGCTGCTTCTGGACCCCGCGCACTGACTGAACCGAAGGGGCTGCGCGCCCGGGAGAGCTGGGGATACGAGGCCATCGTCCACCCTCTCCCCCAAACCGCCACACGCCAAGCTTTGTGCCCCAGGGAGCGGAAAGTAACCAGCTCCGGGAGGCGACAACATAGAGGCAAGGGCGATGGGAAGGGGCAGGGGTCCCCGCGCACCCCAGGGAAATGGGGGTACTGGACCCTCCAGGAAGCACCCTTTGGCCTCCTGAGGTCGGGAGCATCCCCGGCGCCCGCAGCCCAGCGAGTCGCCGAGCGCTCGGGCCATGAGCCCCGCCGGCGGGCCTGGCCGCTTTGTCCCGGCCGTCCGGGAGATGCTGCCGCGCGCGGGTTGGACACAGAGGTTCATCTGCCTGGGAAGAGCTGGCGGCCGCTGCCAGGCAGCCCAACTTGGAGCCCTGGGCTGCAGGCACCGCGTGTGCGGGCGGGAAGTTCCCACAGTTGCAAAGAGGGAGCGAAGTATGTGTTCCAAACTTTCCACGGTTCCAAACTGAGCGCTTCCATTAAGAAAAGCGGTGTGCGGGGGAAAAGCATTCTGGGTATTAGCATGCAAATGAACGGGCCAGGCTTCCAGGTCCGCTCGGGATTCCCACCGCCGCGCGCCCTGCTTGCGCAGAGCCACGCGTGCCCACGGGTTCCGGGGGTGGCGCCGCGGGAGGACCAGAGTTCGAATTCGACACCTGTGCTCTCTGGTTGAGTGTTTTGGTGACGGTCACTTGGCCTCTCTGAGCCTTAGTTAAACACAGTTTCCTAATATGTAAACCGGAGACAGCAACACCTGTCTCTTGAAGTGGTGAGGTCTGCACAGCACATAATTCTGGGCTGGGTGTCTCTCCTTACACAACTCCGCCCTTCCTAGGTCGTAGTAGTTGCCAAATGCCTGTTGGAGAAAATAAATGATGAAGCTTAGAGGGCTGAGGGAAGTTCCCCGGACCCGGAGCCAGGTGATCTGTGTTCTAAGCCCAAGCTAGCTGTGCCACCTCGGGCCAGTGCCCTAACCTCTCTGACCCACAGCTCAGATTCTTTGGTGGATTCGGGGAACCGGCAATTTTTGTGTTTGAGAGCAGCCACAAAGAAAGGGATCTGGGGCTTCCCTGGTGGCGCAGTGGTTGAGAGTCCGCCTGCCGATGCAGGGGACATGGGTTCGTGCCCCAGTCCGGGAAGATCCCACATGCCGCGGAGCGGCTGGGCCCGTGAGCCATGGCTGCTGAGCCTGCGTGCCCAGAGCCTGTGCTCCGCAACGGGAGAGGCCACAGCAGTGAGAGGCCCGCGTACCGCAAAAAAAAAAAAAAAAGAAAGAAAGAAAGAAAGAGGGATCTGATTATTGAGGACCTACAGTATACACACAGACTCTCTCCAAGGTAAATATATTCCCATTCTACCAATGAAGAAACAGGAAAATGAATGGCTTGCCCAAGGCCACACAGATAGTGGTGGAGCCAGAAATCCAACCGGTTAACCCGGGTGTGCCCCTTCCTTGCCAGTGGCTTCTGAACCCCCTCAGTGTCTCCACATGAACGAGGAATTGGTTCTCAGTCTGCCGTGCTTAGAAAACAGGGTGCTGAGATGTTCCTCCCAGAGGCGTCATGCTGTGAACGTGGGTTCACAGAGTGCTCTCAGATCACTGATCCACAGTGCTCTGAGGAAAACAGGGAAGATGCACCAGCCCCATTTTGCAGAGGGGGAAGCCTGAGGCTCAGGGAGCTTGAGTGATTGGCCTAGGATCCCACCATGAGGAAGTGGCCAGACACAGATCCAGATCCCAGTCCTGACCGCAACTGGGATCTTTTTCCTGCATGTCACCTTGGCGGTGTAATTGTGTAGGAGGCCTGTGATGATCTCCCAATTTCATCTATAACTGAACCTTCAGTCTTGCCTATATCTTAGGCTCTTTCTCTTTCTTTTTTTTTGAATTGAGGTGAAATTCACATAACATAAAATTAACCATTTTAAAGTGTGTAATTCAGCAGCACTTACTACATTCCCAATATTGTGCAAACAAGACCTCTGTCAAGTTCCAAGACATTTCCGTTTCTAAAAGAAAATTCTGTCCCCAATCCCCACTTCCTCCAGCCCCTGGCAACCACCAATCTGCATTCTGTTTCTGTGGATTTACCTGTTCTAGATATTTAATATAAATGGAATCATACAATATTTGATCTTTTGAGTCTGGCTCTTTTCACTTAGCATAATGTTTTCGAGGTTCATCCACGTTGTAGCACTGTTATTCCTTGTTATGGCTGAATTCCACAATATGGATATACTACCTTTCCTTTATTAATCCGTTGATGGTCTTATGGTTATTGTGAATAGTACCACTATGAACATCTGAGTACAAGTATTTGTTTAAGTATCTGTTTTCAGTTCTCTTGGGTATATACCTACCAGTGGAATTGGTATCATATGATAATCTGTGATAATTCTGTGTTTAACTGTTTTCCGCAGTGGCTGCACCATTTTATATTACTACCACACACGTCTTTTTATGAGCAATTTTAGAACTGATCAAACCTCCCATTTTATGAATAAACATGCTGAAGCCCAGAGAGATTGAGTAACTTGTCCAAGGTCACACAGCAAGGTTCAGACTAGAACCAAACTTTCCGGAGTCCCTAGCCTTCCACCCACTAAGAGCCTCCCAACCTCCTTCAAAGACCTGAACTACTTACCTGAGCATTCACTGATTTGACAAACCTGTCCAGTGAACAACTAAGTTAACTGTATTATGAAGCTCCTTCTCTTCCCTCAACATCTGTTGAAAGAGCCCACCGCCATGTTCCCAAGTTCCAGGCTGCACCTTGACAAGATGCAGAGCTCACAATCCCTGCGTCTGCCTCCTGCTGCTGGCCTGGCAGGCCCTCTTCTGTTGCCATGGAAACCACGCACCTCCGTTTTGGCAGTGCACCAGCTGGACAGCGAACTGAGAGCATCCTTGTCTCCCAAGCTAAGTGGAGCTTCAAGGTTACTTGCTCACTAGATCCGTATTTATTGAGCACCTACTAAGCACCAGTTCTTCGGATTTTTTTAAATTTGTTTTAGATGCTAGGGATACAGCAGTGAACAAATTAGACCATGGACCGTGCCCTCAAGGAGCCCACAGCCTAGGGGAGGAGACAGACAAAAAAAAACAAGGACATGAAAAAGGCTTCTCCTGGCTCTCCTCCCCCATTCTTCAAATTCTCCCATCCTTCCAAGCCCTGCTCAAACCCCACTTCCTCTGGGGTATCCTCTCCACAAGCCCAGATCCAAGTGATAGCTCCTCTCATCTCTCACAATGCTTATTTTTTTTCCCCCCGATTGCAAAAGTGATATGTGCATTGTAGGAAAATGTAGACAATGCATGAAAACACAAAGAAAATAAAAGATTCCTTATAATTTCATCACCAAGAGTTAAGTGCTGCCAACATATCCTTCTGGTCTTTTTCCCCTTCTACATATGTATAATTTTTTTTTGTTTTAAATAATTGGGTCCTGTTTTATATACTGCTTTGTAATCTTGCCTCATAACAATATATTTTCTTCCCAACATGTTTCGGTGTTCCTGTTTTGGAACAGGGGGTTAACAATAACAGCGAACATTTATTGAACACTAACTGTCAGGTGTGGTACTGAGAGCATTACTTGGTTTACCCTCTGTGATTCTTGAAACTCCCCTGTGAGGTACCTACTCTGGGGTTCTCATCTTACTGATAAGGGCACTGGGGAACTGCCAGATGAGGAAGGGACAGGGATGGCCGAGTGTGCATAAGACAAAGTGGCACCTAGACCCCGGCCGCTCCTGGGGCCTTCCCCATGAACCCAGACTGCCAGGCTTTGGTTGAGTGATTGGCCATGAGCCAGGGACCCAACAGGAGGGGGTGATGGAGGGGCACCCTCGTTTCTGCCGGACAAGAAGAAAGCACCCTTCTCACCTTTATCAGGCTTGCTTAGAAGGCCTGTGACGCCAGTGCGCTTCCTTGGCTGACTCTTCAATGCTGGGCTGTGTTTGGCTTCCTAATAACAGTAGGAAGGTCATTCATTGAGCCATCATGGCACCTCGTGCAGGAGCGGAGCTCAGGTTTTGGAGCCAGACAGACAGTGTAGCTTTGGATGAACTGTGCCAGAAGTTTAGTGCCCCCAGCCCTCCTCTGAGGATAGGCTTACTGCCCTCTTTTTATAGGTAAGGTAACTGGGAAGTTAGGTGGTTCGTCCAAGCCTGCACTGGTGGAGGGTGGGGTCCAAGTCGAGTACAGCCCTCCCTGAGTCTAACAGCCAGTCTCTTAACACTGAACCCTGGGCCTCTTTTCTTTCTTGACTATTGGGTTTCCTTTGTGACTGGGAAGTGTGCAAATCATCTGCCTGTTCTGGAGGCCTAGCTTTTTGAGCTTCACTGAGGAGCCTGAAAAGAGGCCCAGGAATTCCTGCCTCCCCCCCCCCACCCGGCTTATCTTGACCCCTCTGTGCTGTGGTCTCCAGGGCCTGACAGGGACCCTATGGGCCGTGGTTTATCATCAGGCATATTTCCTGCCTCTTTGTCACCAGCAGGACTTTCTTTCACTTAATCGGGAACAAAAAAAAGCAAAAAAACTTTCTTTCTATGTAATTGTTTTATTTTTTCTATATGCAAATCTATGAGGATTTTCTGTTTTGTTCCTAATTAACTGAAGGAGAGTTATGGTGCCACTGGTGACATGGGGACAAGAAACATGGCAGATGATAAACTGTCACACTTGCACACGCGTGCACACACACGTACGTGAAAGACAAGTGACCAACCAAAGAAAATTGGCTCCAGAAGCCAGAGAAGGAGTTAATATCCTTAACATGGAAAGAGTTCTTAAAGTGCAATTAAAAAGTAAACATCCCCCAAATTAGGGTATTTGTTTTACTGCTTTTTTTTTTTTGGCTGCATTGGGTCTTCATTGCTGCGCACGGACTTTCTTTAGTTGTGGTGAGCGGGGCTACTCTTCGTTGCAACATGCGGGCTTTTCATTTTGGTGGCTTCTCTTGTCACGGAGCGGGCTCTAGGCACGTGGGCTTCAGTAGTTGTGGCGCGCAGGCTCAGTAGTTGTGGTGCACGGGTTTAGTTGCTCCGCGGCATGTGGGATCTTCCTGGACCAGGTATCAAACCCGTGTCCCCTGCACTGGCAGGCGGATTCTTAACCACAGCACCACCAGGGAAGTCCCTGTTTTATTGCTTTTTAAGCATTTTGTGAACTTGAAATTTTTCAAAATAAATAAATTAAGTAAAAAAAGAACTCCACACTGCACGATATTGTGAATGTAGTAAATGCCACTGAATTACGTCTGTTAAAACGGTGAGTTTGGGGAAGGGTGGGGGAAAGAGATAGGGAGTTTGGGGTCGACATGTACACACTGCTGTATTTAAAATGGATAACCAACACGGACCTACTGTATAGCACAGGGAACTCTGCTCAATGTCATGTGGCAGCCTGGATGGGAGGGGAGTTTGAGGGAGAATGGATATATGGATATGTATGGCTGAGTCCCTTTGCTGTGCACCTGAAACTATCACAACATTGTTAATTGGCTATAGTCCAATATAAAATAAAAAGTTTTAAAAAATGGTGTTTTTTTTTAAAAGAACCATTTTTAAAAAATAAGTTTATTTATTTTTGGCTGCGTTGGGTCTTCGTTGCTTCGCACAGGCTTTCTCTAGTCACGGCGAGTGGGGGGCTACTCTTCGTTGCGGTGTGGGGGCGTCTCATTGCAGTGGCTTGTCTGTTGTAGAGCACAGGCTCTAGGCGCGCGGGCTTCAGTAATTGTGGCACATGGGCTTAGTTCCTCTGTGGCATGTGGGATTTTCCCGGACCAGGGCTCGAACCCGTGTCCCATGCATTGGTGGGAGGATTCTTAACCACTGCACCACCAGGGAAGTCCAAAAATGTTGAATTTTATGTTATGTGAATCTTACTTTAATTTAAAAAAAAATTTTTAAAGAAAACCCTAAAGGAAAAAATGTGCAAAGGACACAAGGAAGCAACGCACAAAAAGAGGAAATGCAAATGGCCTATAAAAACCAAATACTATTTCCAGTGTACTGATTGGTCTCTGTTTAAATGTGGCTTCCCCAGACACCATAAGTAGTTAACTCCTCCTATGTTTCCAGTAGTGCCCAAAGCTGCTC